AAAAAAAAAAAAAAAAAAAACAGCGGTACCAGTTTCTGTAACATGAAAATCAGAATATGGGAAACAAATTCAAATAATAATCGCTTCTTCTTCTTCTTCTTCTTCTTCTTCTTCATTGCCTCTGAGTGTGGACTGTGCAGTATTTGGGACTTGGAGAGAAAGAGGCGAAAACCAGCACAAAGGAACACAGAAGAGAGGAGGGCAAGGAGGGGGATGGAAAGAGAGGAAGGAACATAAGCGAAGGAACAAGGTAGGGGAGGAAGACAGGAACTTTCAAGGGGAAAGGGTGGAAGGAGACATGATGAATGAAAAGTTGAAAACATATGAAGTAAATAAAGCAAGCAAGAAAAGGATAGCCAAGGACGCACATGTGGTGATGTGTTGCTTTGCGGATCAATAGGAAGGGGAAAGAAGTACCGGCGAATGTTGGGGAAGGATTGCAGGAAGGGAGGGGGAAGGGAGGGGGGGAGGGAAAGGAGATCGAAGACAAGGAGAACATATTGAGCACCGAAAGGAAGAGCAAAAAAAAGAATGTTCAAAGACACGCTTGTTGTGAGGCTTTCTTTCTGTGTCCCTGTTTTGGAAAATATAAAGATTTTTTTTTTACTTAAAACAAAACAAAAAAAAAAAACGTATGGTTCTGGCTCTTTTTCCATTCTGGGGAGCGTCAGTGCGGTTCCTATTTCACTGGCAACAGACGGATGGATGGAGGGACGGATGATGGACGTTCAGACAAACCGACGGGCGCACATGGACAGATGGAGGGAGGGAGGGAGGGGGGAGGGAGGGGGAAGGGAGGGGGAAGGGAGGGAATGAAAGAGCAAAATAAAGTTGAAGTAAAGTTGAGGATTTGGTGCTCAGTCTCCTTGTTGTGTCTTCTTTAGGGAAAAATGCTGCACGTTGATTTGGTGCTCAGTCTCCTTGTCCTGTCTTCTTTAATCTTAGAGTGATGTCTTCCTTAGGGAAAACTGCGGCACGTTGATTTGGTGCTCAGTCTCCTTGTCCTGTCTGTCTTCTTTAATCTTTTTTTTTTTTTTTTTTTTTTGAATCAACCCGATCGGATGCCAGGTGTGCTGATAAGAGCAGACATGTCTTCTTTAATCTTATTAGAGTGAAAGAAAGTTGAGGACACACTGTTCATTATGTTTTCTTAGGGCATACTCACAGGAGGAGCTTCCCTGGATGCATCTCTCATTGTCTCCATAAGTAGTACATGCAATCAGATCTGTGCCATCAGCCAGCCAGTGTCGGCCTGGCTGGGCGGGGGGGGGGGACCGGATTGCGTGGGTACACGGGGGGGCCCACTGCCAGTGGTGTCCAGGCAGGGTCCTGGGTAATCCCAGCGCAAAATATTAAAAGAAATGAGAAATTAGTAAATTTAATGAATTACTAATTAGTGAATTACAAAAAATCAAAAGCATCCGGGGGGAAAAAAAATGTTGGCTGAGGTTCACCTTGAAATTCCTCATTAATTTGGAGATAAAAATAAAACAGAAAACGAGAGTTGAGATATACCCCTTTGAAGTTTAGACCCCTTTAAAATTTGTTTAATTAACTTTAAAACTTTATAGGGAGTTGATACCCCCCAAACTGCCCCCCTGGGGCCAAGTCCCACTAGTAGCGTTGAGCTACCTCAACGCCTGAATGTGGACGTGTTTGTGGAGACGTGCAGTTCAGGAAACTCGACACCATTTCTGCACATCTCCGCAAAAGCGTCCACATTCAGGCATTGAGGTAGCTCAACGCTGCTAGTGGGACTTGGCCCCTGGGTTACCTATCACCGTATTGGAAGATATGGCTGGATTCTGAGCGGGCAGGCCAAGCGCAGTCCTAGCCTCACGACATTTTTTCTTTTTCTTTTTCTTTTTCTTTTTCTTTTTCTTTTTCTTTTTCTTTTTTCTTTTCTTTTTTTTTTTCTTTTTTTTGCCTCTGTCTTGACCTGCCCGGATTTCCCACGCCGACCTGTAGGTTCAGATTCAGTCTATAGACTCTATAGTCTGCTTTAAGTGTATATACTATATAGTGTAAGGCTGTAAGCTATATACTACTATTAATAGTCGCATTCACAGTAGGATTTTATAGCGTACATTCAGGTTCGGTCTATAAAATATTAAAATCCTACTATGAACAAACATCTGAGAAGTGTGCCTTTCAGTCTTTTTTTTTAATAATTAATTTGAACCATTTCTTGATTTATGTGTGTCATCCTTGCGCAGGGGCCATGCTAATCTTCTTTCTCTCTGTATCGTTCCAATCCTGTTAACGGATGTCTCGAAGGACTGAGCCTTTCAGTCTTAATCTATTAAATAATTTAAATTCTATTTTATTGTCATGTGCCTGTTTTGCATCCTGGGGCCAAGTCCCACTAGCAGCGTTGAGCTACCTCAACGCCTGAATCTGGACGCTTTAGCGGAGATGTGCAGAAAAAATGGTGTTGAGTTTCCTGAACTGCACGTCTCCACAAACAGTCCAGATTCGGGCGTTGAGGTAGCTCAATGCTGCTAGTGGTACTTGGCCCCTGTTGGATGCTGCAGTTCTCTCTTTTGCACTTTTTTTTTTTTTTTTTTTTTTTTTTGCACATTGTGTCCTCCACGAGAGTAAAACCTCAAAGTAACTATTAATTTATTAAATCTGATATATCATTTAAAAATTAAAATTTACATTCTATTCTTCTACTTGAAGTGACATAAAGTGTGCCTGTTTTGCAGATTTCAAATGTCTACATGCCAACATATGAGAGTGGTGGCCAGTTCTGGCCACAGCTGCACAACAGAGTCATCGCAGTGCTGATATTGATGCAGATTACAGTAATGGGGGTTCTTGGCACGAAGCAAGCAGTCCGAGCGGCGCCCTCGATGATCCCGCTACCTTTCCTCACCCTTTACTTCAACAAATTTTGCACCGACCGATTTCTATCCTGCTTTAAGAAGACCTCTCTGGAGGTGAGAGTTATATGATTCAATCATCCCCAAAATGACCCCTACCCCCCCCACCCCCGACCCCCTCGAAAAAAGAAAAAAGGGAAGAAAAGAAACATACTTGTCCAAGGGTGGCTGTATCTGATTCTCGTCTGATCTACGCTTTCTTCTCCTTTCCAACTGCCTCTCATGTA